TTGGTGAGTTTCAGGTAATTTTTAGATTGCTGAACTTTAATTCCTTGTAGTTCTTCTAACTTGTGAGTGATGAAGTCAGAGCATAAATAGTTAATATTTTCATCTACCAAATGTCCTATTGCAGTGTTATGACAAGTATTAGCAATCGAATCTGGGGTAAAGGACAGGCAAATGCTGGTCATTACAATTCTCAACCTCATGAAACTCGTTTTTTTTTTCGGGGAAAGAAGTGAATACGATATAGCTTCTGCGGCCGCTTCACCCTAAACTGGTATCCACAGTTACTGATAGAAGATGCAGAGAACGTAGCGTTTGAGGAGACAAAAGATTATTGTCAAGGTATAAATCTTTTTGCCAGTTTTCCTTCAAAACCAGTAAGTAATGAAAGTACATAACAGTGAGAGTCATATAACAAGAAAAAAATGCAGTAGTGTTTTCCTTAAGCCTAGTTTGTTTATGTCTGGCAGATAGCTATCACTTATCGCCAACCTTCTCCTCTAGTTCGAGGTTCTACTTGCTTTGCAGATTTGAAACTTTACACAAAGCATGCACGGTGAGGATTTACCTGCAAATACAATTCTATTGTGCATGTCTACATTGCTGAAATTGTTATTCTTACAATTCTTCCTATGTTGTTGCAGGTGACATACAGAGAGATACACAGCAGATGGAAATCAAAACCGAGCAATAGAAGTTGTTTGACTTTGAAAACTAGAATATATATATATGTTTTTGTCTTGTTGTTCTCAGGGCCTATGATCTTTTTAAATGTAAAGCCCTGCACACTATTATACTAGTCTAAATCTCATCCATCTTTTAGTTGGCTTTTAAAATTATACATGCGAGTTTTAATATCTGCTGTTATTGCTCTCATCATACCGAAACAGATACTCTCAGTCTTACATTCAGCAACCACCGTCATAATCATGCATACACTACACAAAAAAAAGAATGAAAGACCATTAACATGATCAATGTAAACTCAGAGATTCTGATGAAACACTTACCTGTGAAAAATCATGAATTGGCGACACTGAGTCTCACTATCACCAAACCTTACCAATGTAAAACCCTAGATATTCTCAAAACCCCCATAAAGTATTTATTGGCATCAGACACATTAACTGGATTAGCCAATCGAGTACCCTATGGTCCTTATGCTTCAAACTATAATGTTTGAGAAACAAAGAATAAAGTTTATAGAACTAAAATATTGGATCAAACAAATTACACGGACTTTTTAACAAGAACTAATACGAACCTAAACAAGGTTTCAGATCTGAAAGTTGAAAACTTTGTATTTTTCTTGCTAATTTTCACCTCGGGCTCGGATTCAGTTGATGGAAGGCAGGATCCGATCCCTGCTCACAAGCCAAACCGTGAAAAAATCCACGTGGCGGTGTCAGCCAATCAGTTCCCGACCTGCACCAAGCGAATCCGAGACCGCCGATAACTTTTTCATCCATAGGAGAATTTCTCTCTATCAAATATCGAAATACATTAGCCTCCTTTTTTATGTGTATTTAATGAAAATAACAGATCAAAACAGTATTATCACGCGACCTGCACGTGACTCTCACCGACTAGAAGATCTACTAGACCATATGGTTTTCTCGGTTCACTTTGGTTTAGTTTGGGTTTTATATTTCAGGTTCTTACAGAAATAGGTTCGAACGTGAACCTATTTTTTTATAAACTTCAAATAAAATTTATATTTAATATGTTTTAAATTATTTTTTATTAAAAATACGAATTTTAATGAGTTTTTTCTTAGGTTTATACAGTATAACCTTTTTATCACCTTATATTATTGATTTGATTTCAAATTAACAAATTTTGATTTGTTTCATCCCCTTAGAACACATGCATTGATTTGATTTCAAATTAACAAATTTTGATTTGTTTCGTCCCCTTAGAGCACATGCAACGGTGGTATGTAGCTGAAATCCTTAAAAAAGAATTATTATGAAAACATACAGGATCTATGCTTTTTAGGTTTTTTGCAGTATGTAGCTGAAATCCTTAAAAAAGAATTATTATGAAAACATACAGGATCTATGTTTTTTAGGTTTTTTGCAGGTTTGAACTGTTAAATTCATTCCGTTAGAATTTCATTAGATGAAATTTGTTAACTATTTATCCATATTTATTTAAATTTTCTTTTAAAATCTAAAAAGAAAAAAAATAATTAGAAAAATAGAAAACACTTTTTTATAGGATTTTTATGGGGTACACAGTTGTGGTTGCCCTCATATCCAAATGAAACCACCTAAAGATTTGATATGTTTTTACTTTTCAAGTTTTTATACACAAAACTTACTTATATCACATTATTTAATACATCACACTCCGGTTCGGTTGACCCGATCCTGTCTGGCTAGACTATAATAATTACATTCACAAAGAAAAAGCTTTGATGGGTATACAAAGTATATATGCCAAAATTTCAACCAACTTAACTAAAATAGTTCACGATCTCTGGTGGCGAAGGGACCGAGCCACCACGAACCAAAGCCAAGACCGAACCAGCAGCGCTAAAAACTCGTGGGACCACCACTCTAGCAACTCTCGGTAGAGTTGGGTAAGTAAGAGTACCAACGATAAACCAATTAAGACTCATCAAAGCAACCGCATCTAAAGCCGGTTTGTTCTTAACCGTTGAGAAAAACTGAACCACACTTCTCAAAGAGATACCAACCACAGTGAAGAGTGCTCCTATAAGTGGAGTACACATCTCTTGTTCTTTAGCTCCATACATTACTACACCCACGACTAAGGCCAGCATCGCACTGAATACACTTCTTGAAACCGCAACGTCTCTTTCTAACCCGAGAACTCTTGGTGTTAGCTCTTCCTCTGTAGGGATTGTTGCCTTTGCAAATGGGTAAAGAGGTGATTCAACCGATGTAAACTCAGCTTCTCCCTTTGGCTTTGGTATGCTTTGGATTTCAATAGGTTCTTCCTCTGCTTTAACTTTGCCTTTCATGCTCTTTCCGCAAACTTCTTTCAACTGAATATTTTCCTTCTTAAGTTCTTTTAGCTATCGAAAAATACTTTTTAGAACATATGTATTTTTGGTTATGAGAAGGACTGATAATATTTGGATTTAATACCTCAGCCTCCAGCTTTTTAATTCTTGAAATGGCTCCATCATGATCATCTTCTAGTTCATCTAACTCCTGTTCCATGAGTCGATATTCTTTTATTGCTGCCCGGAGATTCTCTTCTATTTCTTTTCTATTCAATTTAAGACTTTCCACCTCATACTGCAACTCATAAAGACTCTGCTCAAGCTGAAATTTTCAAAAGAAAAAAAAAACTTCATAAATACAAGAAATATTACTAAACACTAAATACAAGAAAGGTTAGCTAACCGAAACGAACCAGTCTTTCTCTTGGTATAGAAGCGAGGAAGCGAACCGGAGACGTAAAGAGGAGAATAGAACCCCAGATTGTGCCCCACACAGCTCTCCAGAGCATACTTAAGTTGAACCAAATAGCAGAGCTCACAATATCGGTAGACACAAAAGTTGTAACAAGAGCTGTTCTAAGACAGAACACACATGCAGATATGCAGAAAAATAAAGGTCTGGTCATTAGATATAGTGACGATGAGATCAGCCCATAAACCAAGCCTCCGATATCCATTTTTTCTTCAACGTCAAGAAAAAAAATCCTTAACAACATGAACAGCACGGAAGCAAAATGATTCTAGTTCTTATAGCAGCGGTATCAAACTCCAACAAAGGAAATGATATATTAAAAAAAAAAAACTTACCTTATTTAGGCGAAGAGTAAGAGTAAGCGTGAGGGTAAATGAGAAAAAGTTGTAGCGACTGAGCCATAGAGAAAAGCAAAGGAAAATTGATAGGGAAAGAGACAGAGATGTGGCAGGCAGAGGAGAGCCACCGATGACACGTTGAATGCATTTCTCAGGTTATTCGGATTTGGATAAAGATCAGAATTCTTAAAACAATTAAAATATTATGTTTGAAGAAAAACAAATCTCGTAATTAATGCTCTAAACTGGAACTATTTTGGAACCGAATTTTGAAATCCATAAACCATAGGTATGGAACCTAGCACTCAAGTTGAAATCAATATCCGATACAGTCCGAACTTCAGAAAAAAAAGTATTATGGCAAAACATGTTTCACCCTTACTCCAGATTTGGTAAAAGAATTTGGTCTAATGTTGCTAATTCAACAGTAGATCTTCAAAGGTTATTAAGAACATAATTAATGAAATGGAGATTTTTTTTATATTCCGCTAAAAGATCCACGTTGAAAACCATCATTAATCATGCTCTAAAGCCCATTCCATCATAAGTTATGAAGATGACACATGTGGAACTGATATATTCAAACCGAAACATAACGGAGATCAACACATTGAAAACAGTTAAAATAAAAAAAATTGATAAAAATAATCTTGAACTCGTAATTTCAACATCTTTGTAATTTCTTATTCTTAGATATCCATATATTCCATATCTTTATTTTAATCACATTATCAATCAAATACATTTTCTCATACATAAATCATAAGTTTATATGCCTTTTAGATTCTTTCTTATTGTATATTCTACGATCCATCAGATCCCACCAAAACAACCGTTATTAACTTTTATGGGAATTTGTGAAGAATACCACTTTTCTTATACACATTTTCAAAAATACATTAACCATGTTTACCATCAAAATTTTAGTAATCAAAATACTATTATACCCCTCAGGGGCTTAACCTAAATCTATTTCTCTTCCATTGAGATGAGCTAGGATAACATCTCCGGCGAACTCCGGTGAACTCCGGCCATCTCGGCGAACTCTCGGCCATCTCGCGAACTCTGGAGAACTCAGCCATCGCGGCGAACTCTGGCTACAAATTGATTCATAAGGAACACATTGGGAAAAACGTGAAACTTCCAAAACCAACGGCACACTCAAAATAGGAGGTGGAGGCGATCCCAATTGGATCTGAAATCTCAGCAGCCTGCGAAAATGGAAGAGCTTACAACGGAGAAGAAGAAGAAGATGCTCATAGACTGTTCTGGTTATGTACGAACCCTTTTACCCTCTGTTTGAATCAATCCTAAAAAAAGTTCTTAATCAATTTTGTCTCATAATTGAATGTGAAGGTGGAAGAAGAGCAGAGGAAGGAGAAGAAGAGAAGCACAAGAAGACCAAAGGTGAAGATGATGTTGTTGAAGAGAAAGTGAATGAAGATAGAAAGGAGAAGAAGAGGAAGAGTGATGGAGAGATTGGTTCTGAAGAGAAGAAGAGCAAGAAGAAGAGGGAATCAAAGGAGATTGATGCTTGAAAGTTGCTTACTTTTTTGGTAATCTTGGAGACCAATTTTGTAGTGATTTTTTTCAAAAAGTTTCGGGTAAGTTGTAGGCTAATGATGTCCCTCTAGTGACAATTAAGATTGAAAAAGATATGATTTTTCTGGAACTCTCTGTTTTGGCAGTGTGATATTGCATTCTGTACTGTTACTATATCTGGAATATTCTTGATTACAAAGTTGCAAGTGTTTTTTTAAAAAAATTTGGATCTTGAACTCGCAAGCTTTTATGTTAGAACTCAGTTCTGTTTAGGCACTTGAAAGTCTTATTCTTGAACTCAGTTCGGGTAAGCTGTGGTCTCGTTGAATCCAGCTGGTTCTGTTGATCCAGATTCTGTTGCGTTCTTTTCTCCAGATGAGGTAACTTCCAAGCTTACTGCATTAGATAAAGGTAATCTTCGAAGAACGTTGTTTAGGTACTCATCTTTTTGCTTTGTCTCTTCCCTTCCTTATAGAGAGGCAGCTACGTACATGCGAGAGGCTTCTCCACTCATCATGTTTACAAACACATCACGGTAACAGAGAGTGCAACTGGTGTTACGAATTTGATTGATTAGGAACTTGCATTTATTAGATTTTCTTGCAGGAACATGCTTCTACAGCCTTGCAATACTTCCTCGGATTTGGTACCGGATCAGCTCTGTACTTTCTTCTGGTAAAAAGATTTGACAAGGACTATGTCTGTCTGTGGATAACATGAACCATTACTTTCTTCTGGATCCATGGAAGTAATTTAGACGTTTCTTATCCAACACTGCAGCTATGGGTATGCAGTTTTGAATCCCTATTTAGCAAACCGTGTAGGTAATAAGCCAGTCTATGTGATTCTTCTGCAAATTTTTTTAACACTCGTGTTGCTTTCTGTGGACTAAACTTTTCACATCTCTCATGATGCAGTAAATGTGGAAGGCTATTAGCGATGGATAAAAAGTCTTCTTTAATCCTACCTCTTCTACACCGCACTTACCAAGATTTGCCTCTTGCAGCCAACCTCGACGTTTGTGAAGCTTACCACGGTGGTTGCTCTCCAGAGGATTAGGGAGGACCAATAAGAAGGTTAGAGAACTTGCTTCTTAGAACATTTTGTATGAATCTATAACATTGACCCCCCTTGTTTGTGTCCCACATGTTGAGGTTAAATATACATTAGGACAGTTAGTTACTTTCTTTGTTTCTCATCCTGAGTAAGACATATATATGGGACATAGAAACAAGTGACAAGTGATGATACATGTGAATGTTCTAGACAATTTGATCTGTGTCACAAGATGTCAGACCAAAGACTTATTTTACTCAGTTCACACTCCAATGTTAGTATGTTGCAGTAAACATCAAAGCGAGAAGAAGACAAAGTGGGTCCTGAATTTTGTGCTAGCAGAAGAACGTGTTGGATTGGATTCAGAACCAGAAATAGAAAAGATGTTACATTGGTGATTTAGAACCTGTAAATCAATAAGGATGTAGAACAACAACAAGAACTAGTTGTCTTCATTTCATAATTATGATGTTACATTTGAAATTGATTTTAAGTTACCTGAGACTAAAGAAACACACAGAAGAATCACTAAAAAGAAACAAAAGGGCTAGGAAGAAGAAGAAGAATAAGATCATACATGTACACTACAAAGATGAAACAAAAAAAAAATGAAACAGGGAAAAATCGAAAGCAAAGGGCTCAACCCATTCTTAGCCAATACTACAGCTATTATACAAAGAAAATGGTTTATAAAGTTCTAAAACTGTTTATAATCTTTATAAAAAGATTAACTAACGCTAATAAATGATTCATTTTTTATTTATTGTTATAATTATTTGATTTATAAACTTTCACAGATTAACTTTTACAAATGGCCTCACAAACCTTATAAACATTTAACAAACCCTTATAGAACCTTTATGAATCTTAATGTACACTTACAAAGACTTTAAAATAACTCTTTTATAATTTATAAAGCTTTATAAAAAACTATTAATAATTTATAAATGATTTATAAACCATTATAAACGATTTAGAAATGATTTAGAAACCATTATAAATGATCTATAGACCACTTTAACTGAGTTATAAGTTCTTGCACATGGTTTTATAAACCTTTATCAATAGTTTTACAAACCTTTATCAATATTTTATAAATATTTAAAAGTGTTTTATAAACTTTAAAAATGGTATACAAGATTTATAAAGCTTATGAAACCTAAAAATAGTTCATAACAGGTTTTACAAACTCTTATAAAAGGTTTATAAACCCTTATAAGTGTTTATAAAGACATAACAAGATTTATATGAGTTTTTATTAAATGACTTATAAGTGTTTATAAAGACATAAAAAGATTTATAAACGTTTATAAGTTGATTATAAGAGTTTTAAACTGATTTATAAAGGCTTGTAACCTAATTTATTAACTAATTATAGGATTTATAAGGTTATTTATTAATTTTAATAAATTGGCTTTTGATTTATAAGAATTTATAAACTGTTTATAAATGTTTATAAATGACTTAAACAATGATTATAAACCAAATTTGTAAGGCTTAAAAACAACTTTATAAAGACTTATAAATTATTTATATGGGTTTATTAAATGATTTTAAAGGTTTATAAGTTGACTATAAGAGTTTTAAACTGATTTATAAAGGCTTGTAACCTAATTTATTTACTAATTATAGGGTTTATAAGGTTATTTATTAATTTTAATAAATTGGCTTTTGATTTATAAGAATTTATAAACTGTTTATAAATGTTTATAAATGACTTAAACAATAATTATAAACCAAATTTGTAAGGCTTTAAAACAACTTTATAAAGACTTATAAATTATCTATATGGGTTTATTAAATGATTATAAAGGTTTATAAACTGATCTATAGAGGTTTATAAACTAATTCATGAAGGTTTCTAAGTTATGCATAAACTGATTTAAAGAGTTTATAAACTGATTTTTAAGGTTTTAAAAGTTAATTTATTAATGTTTATGAATTCATTTTTACTTATTATAAAATTATTATTATATGATCTATATAAACTCTTTAATTAACTCTTATAAATGGTTTTATAAACCTTATAAGATATCTAAACTAGTTTATAAGAGTTTATAAACTAATTTATTTTGGTTTATTTGTTAAGTTATGAAATATTTTATTTATAATGGTCTATAATTTTAATTTATAAGAGTTTATAAACTGATTTAAAAGGTTTTATAAACTAATTATAGGTTTTATAAATTGATTTATTAATTTTAAGAAATTGGCTTTTGATTTTTAAGAATTTATAAACTGATTTATAAAGATTTATAAATGACTTAAACAATGATTATAAACTATTTTTAAGGCTTAAAACTATTTTAGAAAGACTTAAAACTTATTTATAAAGGTTTATAAAAAAATTTATAAGGTTTGTAAACTGGTCTGTAAAGATTTATAAACTAACTCATGAAGGTTTCTAAGTTAATGTATAAACTGATTTATAAGAGTTTATAAAGTGAGTTTTAACGGTTTATAAATTAAGTTAATGGTTTAGAAGTTGATTTATTAATGTGTATAAATTCATTTTTACTTATTACAAAATTCTTATTAGCATGGGGTTAGAGAATATCTCGGGCTCAACAAACTGTTGCATTGGAACTATATGAAACAACCTCTATAGAAATTTCTATCTTTGTACCTGTCTATAGATTTTTCTTCTTGTTACTTGGCAAACATAATCCAACAGGTATCACTTTTCTTGAGTTAGTTTTCAATTAGTTGTTTAATTACTCATACTAACTTTCACCATATGAGCATAAACACACATCCTATTTAACCATGTATGTGTCAGCGATTTCATGATGATCTCTGATTCTCACCTATCAAATAAACGTATCAGAGAAGAGACCATCGTAACTACTGGTACAGCTCCAACACATTGTTAAAGAATCATTCAAACTTGAAAGCATAAACAAATTCATAATGCACTTGGATTATTATTTAAGACTTCGAACATAAAGGACCATTACGAGCCAAGGTTCACAACGAAAAGAATTTAATGAAAACATTGGCGACACAGGCGATCCATTTTGCAGGAGCAAACAAAGCCACCTCCCAAGTTCATTAACGAAGCTCAAAGAACACCACTTTTGCGACACAGATCACAAAGCTCAAACGTGTCCACCGCGAAGACGAAGAACCAAGTGAAGAGTAGACTCCTTCTGAATATTGTAATCAGCCAAAGTCCTATCATCCTCAAGCTGTTTCCCAGCAAAGATGAGTCTCTGCTGGTCTGGTGGGATCTCCTCCTTGTCTTGAATCTTTGCCTTTACATTGTCGATAGTGTCGGAGCTCTCAATTTACGTGGAACCTGCCACATGGTTAACTCACTCTTAAGGATAGAAACAACACCAATAGGACCAAAGAAAGTCTCCAATCAATAATACTAACTACTTGGTAGTTGATCAAGGTGAACTGGTTCAGCTCAGCTTATACTGAACAACAATAGTTGATTAACGATCTATGTATAGTCTGTGAAAATCATTAAACCAGATCAACAATTTCTCCCCTAAGTTACCCGATTTTCTAATGATAGATTCAAGAGTTTCGAATCCTTAATCAACTTTCAGGAAGATAGTTACTATTGTATCTAGCATTGAAAATTCCCAATTTATACGAACTTTTGGATAACAAAAGTCAACCACAATCTCAAAGCTACGACTGCAAAACTGAAACCCAAAAGCGATAAAGAAACATTACTTACACACTGTTGACAGTATCTCTTACCCTCTCCATCAAGCACAACGAAGCTAGCGTTAGCACACCTTAGACAAACCCTATGCCTCCTATGATACCCTTTGAGCTCACTTATATCAACTTCACAACCCGGAACCTGAATCCTCTTCTTCTTCGGAAACTCAGCCTCCTCCAAATCTAAAGAAAGAGAAAGAGAAAGTCTTAGTGAGAGAGAGAGAGAAAAGAGGGGCCCCCGTATGATTCGGATTCGCCGTGTGTTGCTCTTGTTTTATGTCAAGGCATCGGTGGAGGAGGTAGTAGGTTACGAGAAAAAGAGGACGAAGAAGACGGCGTCGGTGAGGTCGAGTGGGAAGAGGACATTTAGGTCATTTACCCACTAATGATCTAGGTATTTATGAAAATGTCCCTTGAGTGGTGGTAAAGTTGAATTGTGGTACAACAAAAATGGTATTTTTGCAATTGTCCCAACTTTTATTAGATTTTGATATTTATAACCGTGCAAATTTTTTAATATTAAAATATTTTAAATTGTATAAGAAAAGTTATACATATATTAATATAATTTTGATGTTATATATTATTTAATCGCATAATAATGTTTGTGTGGCTTATAATATTATTTTTATAAAAAAAATTGTATTTTTGTAACAATTTTAAAAAAACCATTATTATATAACAGTAATAATTGTTTATTTCTAAAGTTGAAATATATGTGGAAATTAAATTAAGTTGAACATATAATAGAGAAGTAAATTTTAGATACTGTTAAAATTATTGTACAAAATTTTATAATCAAAATGGAATATTGTTTTAATTATATTTTCTGATAATTATAATTTCAATTAACTAATTTTTGAAAATATTTTTTTTAATCTAAAAAATCTTACAAAAATATTGTTAGAATTTTCAAAAAAAAAAAAATATTTTTTTGTATTTCAAATAAAATTAAAGATATGATAAATATTATAATTAGGGCTGGGCAAAAAAAACCGAACCCGAAAATCCGAACCGAATCCGACCCGATAAAAAAGAATCCGAACCGATCCGAATCCGGTATAAGTACCGAATGGATCTTGTTTTACGGTATTTCGGGTTATGGGTATTACCCGAACCGAACCCGAACTTAAATGGATATCCGAAAGAACCCGAAACTTTAAAATTCCAAAAAAACTTGTATCATATCCAATCTAAATTTCTAATATGTTTCCAAAACAGATTAATATATTATTGAGTACCTACAATAATTAGTTATGA